CCCCTCCCCCTGAAACGTTCATTTCGGTCACACCCACACAGACCATGAGAAGCTTTGATGTGGCCGTTTGGCTATTTTACAATCTTTATCTGCACTCAATCACCTGTTTAGTGCTCTTAGGGCCTGATTTACTAAGACCTATAGCACATGCAAAATCTTTTTGCCCGTGCAAAACCAGAAACCTTGCCACTGATTGGGGCAAGGCAAGTACCCTGGCCAATCATGCACGATGTTATTGGTTTTGCACGAGCAAAAAGATTTTGCATGTGCTAAAGGTCTTAGTTAATCAGGCCCTTAGGGCTCTAAATTTGTTGACCAGGCGCAGGCGCGGCGAATGGGGGGAGCGCGGCGCCAATGGGGTGTATCCAGGCGTATTTTGCAATTTCGTGCCCGGCGCAGCCAGGCGCAAGTACTCCTCTGTCCCGCCTGTGTCCCTCCCGCCAGCGTAAGTGGCAAAGAGGGAGGAGAGAAGGCGTGAGTGGGTTTAACACAGCCGAGTCAAATCTTCACCAATCAAATGAGCTCCTCTCCTCACCTTTAAAATGTTGCAATATAGAAGCCTCTGTCCTATATCTGCATGATGAGTTAATATTGCATTTCACTTTGCTGCTTCAGGCATGTTTTCTGCACCGCTTACGTCTATATTAAGCATTACGAATATGAGTTAGCTGGCTAGCTAGGGCATTTGCGAATTACTACCATTAGTGAACTTGAATGGAATTTCAATACGAAACTACGTCAGATCATTCAAACTTATGAAGTTGGAATGAAATACGACGGTTGCTCATTTATTTCTTCTGCCTGCATCATTGGGAAGAGAAACGATGGATAACGTGTTCCTACTATTACACCCTGTTGCTGCTTAAAATTTTGGGATTAACATGCATGGACAACAATGCAAGATACGTTACACATTTATTTTCAATATGTGATCTTAACTCGGGTGCGAGATCATAGCAATTAGGCTGTATTCTTTCCCCACTAAAAACGATAAAACCTAAGTGACAATAATAGTAATAAGCTTGCACACTGGGCGAAACGAATTTTTTAGCACGACAGATTACATTCAAAGTCAATGCAAAGACGCGTCTTTGCATTGACTTTTGAATGCAATCAGTCGTCTTCGTAAAATTTCAAGTCCGTGTGAAAGCAGCTGAAGGACACATACCCACATAGCCTACACATGCACTCATGCGCCCACATGCACACATCTCTCTCTCTCTCTCTCTCTCTCTCGTATCGTACGTTGCAGACAGGGGTATTTGCGGTCAAAGCCACTGCCGCAAGAAAAGCGGCTACGACGCTCAAAGTAATTTAATATCAATACTCACTTACGTTTTATAATGGTAGTTCAAAACTTTGATATAACATAGAAAACACATATTCAGAAAAAGTCATGGACGGATGGACTCATATCTTTTACTGACATGAAATACCATGCATTACTAACATCAGTGCCGTGGCTCTAGTGTTAAGGACAGAGCTGTGCAGCCAGGTGGTCTCTCCTCTCCCATGCGCGCTGCTGCTCTCCCTGCTAATACGGCACATGCAGTTCGGCCTCTCTCTGTCTCAAGTCCTGTAATGTCTCCTGCGTGAGGTCAAAGTGACATCCATGGCATACAGCTATGTTGTGTAGCACGCAACATGCCACAGAGAATGGCTGTCAGGTCGAGTTTCCATTACGCGTGCCGACCGCCTTTGATCTGACATCAGGACAATCGATATAGATACTATAATTTATGTGCTGATTCAGATAGTTACTTTAAATAGTGGTTGCTGTAATTATTTATTGCATTGAAATGTGCCTGACATTCTGGAAACCTGCCTGTGAGGTTTCGGTGGCGTGTCTTTACTGTGCCCGGTCAGCCAAATTACCACTGCACAGAAAGTAAACCAGGTTGGAGCTGGCGAGCTTTCTGCACAGTTTCGGCGGAGACTTTTGCTACGAAATTGTCACTGCGTCATGATGAATATGTGACACCTCCCCCTACTACGCTGCCACACCCATCTCGGCGCACGTCTGTCTACCAAATTGCCAAAGTGGCTGCGCACGGTGTTGCACTGCATGAAATTACCACTGCACGGGCTGCACCGGACGAAATTACCACTGCGTGGGCTGCGCCACCCTGCGCTGCACCAAGAAATTAGAGCCCTTAGTGTTAATTTTCATTGAGTGATAGTACGTCTTAGTTTTTGTTCTTGATACAGTGTGCTTGTTTTTACAATATTGCAGAACTATCATTTTGTGTTCTGAATATAAAAAGTACTGTTCATTGAATTACTTGCTGAATTGAATTACTCAGTGAGAATGTATAACCTACAACCTTGCACCCCTATCTTTGGCCTTTTGTGAAATATTAAATACACTTAAAGTAAATCTTGCAATATTATCTGGGCTTCATGTGTCTCTTGAATGTAATGGCATGACACCCTGGGGTTCCACAGCCACAGAGCAGATATTCGCTTATAGGATACTCAATCATTCACATGATTTAGCTGTACGACTCCAAAGTCATGGAACCATCTGGTTTTTTGCCCCTTGTGTGCACATGAGCGCATGAAAAGTAATGTTGTGTTGTCAGGCACTGTAGTTGGCGTATGATTTTTTGAGTGAATACCTACTGTAGGTTACAGCAATCATGTGTTCTACCCCATGAACGCCCCGAACAGGAAAAATGACAGCTTTGACCCCCCATACTTTTGAAATGCTTACTATGCCTCTTGTTGTGGGTAGAAGTTCGGCTGGCTGAAGTCTTACCCCTCTGCAGCTTTCTGCATGGTGTGCGTACTTTAACCCATTAATGACCACTGTCCCATTTCTGGGACATGGCACATTTTAACCTCTGTAACCCAAGTGAATGCGTTACTGTGACTAAGCTGCTGTAGCTTAATCAAGGGAAGTAACTCGAATCCAGGAAAAGTGCTTATGAGAGTAGTCTCCCTTTACAGCAGTGGTGGGGGCCGCCATTTGCATGAATTTCTCGAATCTGTAACAGCACTATGTGACGCTTCCAAGAGGTGTGTAAAGGCATTTTTTCTGACTGAGGCACATTTTTATATCACACTAAAGACAAGAATTGGAGATTATAGCATTGTCTAAATATGTTTTTCTCAGAATGATGATTTTTATGCTTTCAACAATCTGTGTACATTCAGAAAGGAACATACATACTTGGGGTCCTCGATGACAAAATAAATATTTTTCCCCAGAATATAAGTGTTGAATGTTCATTGTACGCCATATCCGATAGTAAAAGGTAACTTTTACTTTGAAAAGAAATTTGGGCATTAATGGGTTAAGCTGCGCAATGGAAGCTTGTAGAACAGCGGCCTCTCTGGTTGGAGTGGTACTGCACCTCATTTCTGCTGTCGCTGACTGATGATCCAACCTGGAAAATTTAGAGGTTTTCATTACACCTTCTGCTGCGATCACAGGAATCAAAATACATGTCATATAGTGCAATCCTGCCTTAATGTGAATCTGAATTACCACATTGTTAGCTGCCCTACATCTGTAGCGAAGCATGTGCATGTTCCCTTGTTTGCCTGTTAACACAAAAGTTTGAAACATAGTTCATCACAACTGTAATTGGCAAGGCTACACCAGACCGTTACCATCAGCAGATAATGTTGTACACTTTGAGCAAGTGCTAGAACGCCATATTAGATTTTTTTTGAAAAGTGTTGCATTGTTTTCGTAATACTTGCCCAAAAAAAGAAGTTTAGTTACACTACATTATATTCCACTCTAAGGGCAACTCTGGGTATTAATAGTTTTGTTATGCCTGACTAGCTAATTATGCTAGTGATGATTTCGTCGAGAGCAAACGTGTAATGGCAAATTGGATTGTAATTTATTTATTTTTCTATTTAAGTTTATTTATTGAATTTTGAACTTGTAGGCTTTCTTGGTGGGTTTCTCAATATAAAGTCTGGTGTCTTGCTACAAATGAACATCCATAGCACTTGTAAGTTAGCTACCTGTATGCAGTCAAATGCATATAAGGATTAAGAGAAAGGCTCTGGACTGATATTAACCCCTTAAGCCCTATGCCCTGGTACCAGGGGGCGGTGGTTACGCATAATAAATACAGTATGTTTTCAAATCGCAACATTGTCATGCGGCATATCCACATTTCGAGAAGAAACTAGGCAAAAAGCACATGTAGACCTAGACCATTTTTACCTCAACCGAACACAATTCAAGCACCAAACAAGTAAATAAGCATGTAGCAAAACATAGGATAAAATCATATCAGCACTGAATTGCTAGAATTTCTCCTGAATTTGTGCTATGCATACAAGCGATACCTCAAATGAAAGAGGAAAGTCCACAGAATCCAACGATTTGAGCCCAGTCATTTTAAACTGACACCACATTTAAAGAAAAGCAGGCATACACTTTACAGTCTACAGAGATGAGCAAAGAAATTTCTTGCTTTTGATATTTTGTAATAAAAAAACTTTTTGAGGGTAAACCCACGCTTGCTATTGTTAGCACAATGTGTCCGTGTTCTAACGAAACTAGATCTGCTAGTCTCAAAGCATGTTTTTCTTCTCGAACATTGCTTCAAAGATCTCCGTTCCGCAGCATGCAGCTTGCTTGCAATGTATTTTCCTCTCTGTGATCGGCTTGTGATGCTCTCAGTAAGACTTTGCCAGTAGCCATTTGATTCCATGGCTTCTGATGTTTCCAACGAGCCCTAAAGCACCTTTATCGCACAAAGCTAGCCTGAGCTAGAGCCTTGCGTCCCAGTGTGTCAAACCGAGTCCATGGGCCATTCGAATGTACTTAAATAGCGCGACAATATAAACCCTTAACAGGTTTGTTTGTGGTATTTTTCGGTATAATGATCCGCTAAATATTCAACCGTCCTTTTCAAAGTCGTTTTCTGACATAAATGCATGAATTCTGAGGGCACAACAGTACAAACAAGGTGAGTGACTTGTTTTTTTGACTCATCCTTTATATGGGCAATTTGATTTTTAGCGTTGCTGTCAAATGGTATAGTCTAGTGGCCAGGATGTAGGGCTGCTACTCCGGCAGTCAGGGTTCGAGTCCCTGACCATTCGTGCTTTGGTAAGACAATTGTAGCATTTTGCTTGTATAAATAAGTGCTGCGGTTTTTATCCTTTTGACTTTTTTCCCCATTTTTTTTACCCTTTTTGTATTCATAGTCTTATTAATTAGCTTTTTTTTAAATAAATCTGCTCCAGTGGAGCCAAACTTCATTTTCTTTGTATTTATTATCTTTGAATGGGAAATTGTATAGGCTATAGGACTGGCAGAAATAATAATTTAAAAAATTATAAATTCTAAAAATTAAAAACTGGTTGTAATTGGGTGGAATGTATGCCTGTAGTGACACATAAGTGAAATTAGATGAGTTTTACAATTAAATATCTGAGAAATCAGATTTTGCACACAAGGTACCTGAGTTGCCAATTTGGAGAAGTCACCTAGACATTCCTCTCTAATTTTGTTCTGATTTACTTGATTAGAATAAACTTTGGCACAGATAATGGTGAGATTCTGTGCTGTAAATTTTTAGAGGTTTCAGACTGCAACTAATTAAGTCTACAAGGGATAGAAGTAAAACTTTGTTTGGTGCAAAATGAGGTCTTTGATTTATACTGTGTTCCATCTTCATTTACTCTGACTCAGTGACATATATACTGATTTTTACACCATGGCAGAAATCCCAAATGGTTTTACCTTTATTATGATACCAGGATTGTCCAAATGGACCAAATAGTTGCAGAGATATACTCATTTCATTTTGGGCTTGCCATTTTTGAAAAAAAGTCTCAGGGCTTAAGGGGTTAATAAAACTTTATGGGAAGATTATTTATGACCACAGTAAGAGATGAGTTGATTTTCATTGGTCAGGGTCAAAGGGGAGGGTCAGCATCGCAGAAAACAAAATGACTGTGCTGGCGAGGTATGCTCTCTACTGAATAATATTTATGGAAGGATCTGTTTGTACATGCAAAAATTACATCTGGCAGCTTTAAATGAGTTAAGTGATGTGCATGTTGTGGATTCATTTACCCAGAGTTTGCACCTCATTTGGAGCGCACTACCCATTGTGTCCGACTGACTGCCCAGACCTGGTCATGCCATGTCTCCCCAGGACCCAGAGTCCGCAGACAGTATGGTGGTGAGGTGGAGTGTTTAAGAGAAGTGTCTCCTCAATTTGGTGAATAGTGTGAAAGGCTGTGCTATTGCAGGTCAGGGCTCTGTCACAGACAAAGACAGCATATAAAGATGGACTACACGTCTCCACTTCCTAACGCTGTACAAAAATGAAGCCAAAATATCCTTCATACAGACACTGCCATCTTGCACATTTGGAGCCAGAGTCTGCACATTAGTGATCGGGGGTTAAGCTGCAGTATCGCGGTCCTGCCCATACACCTGCCCTACTCATAATCATATCCCCAGAACCTTTTAAGTAGCTCAGCTGGCTCCTTCTGTTAGCGGTAAACGCTGCATGTTGTACATAGATAGCTGACCGGTTCTACTGCGACTGAAAGCTTGTTTAAGTGTTCAATAGTTCGGATCTTTTACAAGTACAGTCATATGACACTAAAATATGTTTACTGCTTTCCTTGTCCCTGGTGGTTCTTTGCTTTGGTGATGTTTGGCTCTTGCTGGCTAGCTAATTCATTGACTATGGATAAGTAGCTAGCTAGCAACATCATACAAACCAAACTTACTTTAAAAATCTGAGCTTGCTAACCTTTAAAAATCATGTAAATAGTCTATGGGTGAACAAACTCACCACTATCATGAGTTTTAATTTTATTTGTGACTAGCTTGCTTCCGAGCTAACGAGGGGGCCCCCACTTAATCTCCATTTACCAAGGTTTAGTTAGGTAGCTAGCTATCAGTTTTTGGGTCACTTATGCTACCAATGAAAATTGATTGTAGAAAGCTCTTTGCACTGAACATAGCATCTTTGTGAACAGTAGCTACATTACACTGTTTTTGATGTAAAGACCCTTTTATCACCGATTTCCGTTGCTGTCTATGGTGACCAATTATAATATGTAGCTAAATTAGCTGCCTTGCTATTCCTTTCTACAGTAGCATTGCTGCCATGACGCTATGTTCAGAACAAATACCATTTTACAATCAATTTTCGTCGGACTTGCAAATTTGTTATATTTAGTTGTACTGGGACCAAGCCACTTATATATTTGTGTTGTTAACTTTATATTTCTTCTTGATGGTTGCATTTCAGCTCCGTGCTGTTCCCAGAAGTTAATTAACAGGTGACGACTTCTCTAAGAGAAGCTGTCAATCATGACTTTATACCCCCTTTTTTAGTATAAAATAACTTAATAAAACAAAATTTATCAGAAAAAATGAACAGTTGAACATATATCAGCATGGTAAGAACTATTTCATTGACAGAAACCATCTTTGGAAAAAACTTATTTGACACATACTTAAGCATTTTAGTGAGGCCCCTGTCCCATCTACTAACATGGAAGAGCAAGCTTACAACTTGTACTGCAGCCAGCCACTAGATGGTGATCAAGATGTTTTGGCCTCACTTTTTGGGAGCTGAAAACGGCAAAAAACTGGTCGGTAACGGAGTTACTAAGTTTACAGTTTTTGCTGTTTTCACTCAAAATAAATCAAATGAACAAAATTAACTATTTTGTTTTTTGAGGTACAAGGGAAGACCTACACAAAGGCATTTAAATTGTCACTCTATCTTACTTAGTTTTGGAGCCATGATACAAAGTACACCAATTTTGTAACTCCATTACCGCGTGACCTGGCCCTTCAGCAATGCCAGGAATGAACTTGGTCACTCAGCAACACAGTATTTATTTATTTGCTTAGTTTTTAGGCTGGTCTCAAGAATTTTTCACTTCTACGACAGCTACAAGAATTAACGTCAGAGGTAAACCAAGTGGAACCCAGAAAACCCACAACGCAAGAACTTTAGCGAGAACTTGACTTGATTGAATGGAGTTAGACCAGGTTAGGACTGATTTTAGGGTGTTCCTCATAACAAAGGTTAATGAACAAGACCACTCCCAATGCGCCTTCCTATTCGTCCGCACACCTATATATACTGCCTTCATTCCCACAATCCCCGCTTGTCTCATTTCTACGTCCCTCCCTCCCTTCCCCTCTCCAAGAGGGAAGCAAGAAACAGCCACCACCTGGGACCCCGGGGGGCTTGGGAGCCACACGGACTCCGACGAGAGACGCGAGCCCCACCCTGAGTCTCGCCACCTGGGGGTTCCCAACGTTCCCCAATCACAGACCAAGCCCATACAACATCGCTTTAACCCCGATCTCCTATCCATTGTTCCACCGAATACTCTCCTCCACTTTGGGAGTGGTCCAGAGTTCATTAACTTTAAAGATATGTGGTGATAGAACCAGATGGACCTGGAATGTGACGAAACAGGTGTGGTTATCCTGGCACACATGATTTCAAATTAAAGACTAATTACCCCCCTTTCAATTGTATAACTATCATTGAAAGTGTGAAAAATGGAGATAGAAGAAGATAGCAGTTAGGTGATGATATACAGTCAGTGGCCACAGACCTGCCTGCATTACCCTCCCTCCTTGTCTTCTTCCTCTCCTCCCCCTCTTCTTCTCCTCTCCTGCTCTCCGGGGTGTTGTGTTTAATCTTTGCTGATGCAGGAGTACAGTGTGAGACTGGTTCTCTGAGCACTTTATAATTCCTTCCTTTATAATCCCCCCATCACCCCACCCCACTACCCCACTACCTCTCCCCAGCTTACAGCCCTGCCTGCTGACGCCACACTCTCTCTCTCTTGCACACACACACACACACACACACACACTCTCTCTTCCATTCCCCCTCGCCCTCCCTCTTTCTTGCTCTCTTTTACAAATGCTCTCTCCCTCTTAATTTTGCCCCTCTGTTGCTATCACTACCTCTGTCACTGTCTTCCTCTCTCCCTATCTCCCTTCCTCCTTCCTTCTCTCCCTCTTTCACTCTTTCTCTCCCTCCCTCCCCTCCTCCCTCCTTCACTCCCTCTCACTCTTCCTTTCTCCCTCCTTCTCTCTCTCCTGCTCTATCACTCCCTTGTTCCCTCTCTCTCCCTCTCCATCTCTCATTCTCTCTCCCACTTTCATTCTCTCTGTCTCTCCCTCTCTCCATTACTCTATCACTCCCTTGTTCTCGCTCTCTCTCCCTCCCTCTCCATCTTTCATTCTCTCTCTCTCCCACTTTCATCTTCTCCCTCTCTCTCTCTCTCTCTCTCTCCCCCCCCTCCCTCCCTCTCTCCCTGTGCTGTATCAGTGGCTGTGTGTATTGAGGAACAGACAGAGCTCCCGCAGCTCCTGCTGTGTATCCCGGCTCTCTACCTCTCCTCTCTCCTCTTCTCTCTCTCTCTCGCTCTCCGCGGGGCGCAATGTGGCTGCTGGACTGGATCTATTCCCTCAACACAGCTGTGGTGAAACTGGCCAGTGGTCTGCGCTGCAGGTGAGTCTGGTGTTACTGGGGCTGTAGGGTTAGATCAGGGCTTTAGTGTCACTGGGGTTATTGGGGTTATTGAAGGGGTCAGTTATTCTTAATCAGGAATGGGGCTCACTTATTCTTTGGCAGGCAGGAACACACCAGGTGGTGTGTGTGTTTGTGTGTTTATGCATGTGTGTGTGTGAGTGTGAGTTTATGCATGTTTGTGTGTTCATGTGTGTGTGTTATTGTATTTGTGTGTGCCTGTGTGTGTGTGCATGGGTGTGTGTGTGCGTGTGCGTGTGTGTGTGCACGCATGTGTGCGTTCGCGTCTGTGTGTTTGTTTATATATGTATTTGTGTTTGTGTGTATTTGTGTTATTGTATTTGTTTGTGTGTGTGTGTGTGCTTGCATTTATGTGTGTTAGATATTGCTCTCATAGCCCAGCATATCCCGCGTGCTCTGAATTGACCTCCCTCTGGACGGACACTGTGCTGGTGGTAGAAGTGCACAGGCTACAGTTTCACAGCCTGGAGGAGTGTGTCGTACCGCTCTGCTCTTTTCTGTAGAGACGGTCATGTCCCTCATTTGTTCCTCAGATGTTACTTTGTGGAC